TATATATATATATATATATATATATATATATATATATATATACTTTTGCAAATGGGTCTTCTCCCCTGCATTGTGATACATTCTTCACTGATAATTATTTACTGCAGTTTTCTAAAATGAATGAGAAAATATTGGAGAAAAAGACGAAAGAAAATGAGATCTAACGGAAATGAAATTCATTAATACCCCTCAATAATAATCTTTGCTCAGTGCAAGATTTATTTCTGCACTTTACAATTTGACTTTTTAACTAAATTTTCCATCATTTAAACTCCTTTTAGCTTGCAGTGGCATATTCCCGTATCCTTTATTTCAAGTTTCTTGGTCCGGATTACATTTTTTCTAATTTCAAGTCCCACAATTCTATCCACCTTTGATGACAATGGATATTCATCCAGTTTCTCTTGCTGACTGAGTTGTCGAAACAAATAAGACTTTTGATTTAATAAGGAACTGACCAGCAAGTTTTCAAAAGATAGGTCACATAGTATTTTATCGTAACTAATTTAAAATAAAGCAACCAAGATTGCCCAAATTTTTAGTTTTGTCATAATTGATATAAATACTCAAAATCGTTAAAAGTATTGAAGAAGTAACGCAGAGAAAAATGGGTTGCGAAGTGCTACGTTTAAAATTAGGGATTAAATTATTATTATTCTCGATTATCTACCAAATTAGCTTACTAACAGTAATAACCAAGCACTCTGTTTACTAATTACTGTTTTTCCAATTTTAATGATTTAAATCATGACCGTCCTTCAGGTATCAACCACTGGTATTGGTATGGTGATGATAAGTAGTGGGGATCAAAAGATAATATGTAAAATAAAAAGAAAAAAAGACTCTTGGATCATTAAAAATTTGAATGACCGAAAAATGCCTACAGACAGATGAAAAATATCACTGAACTTCACCGAAAATACCGGCAAATGTACGTTTTAGCTGACCCATTGTATCATCCTGATGCTGCTGTTGCTGCAAACTACCTCCTGAACCTGGTGGTTCTTTCCCTTGCTTACTTGACTGCCTTACTGGTCTTGGCGGTTGTGGTGTTTTCTGGCCAATAGAAGTTTTTCTGCTTAACTTGTCATCACTATTCATTGTAGCTTCACCTTCAAAATGTGTGTGAGACGTTGGTATACAAAACTCAATTCATGATTTTTGGCATAAATTTTAAGTTGAATTGAAGTTAATATCTGTTAACAAACAACGTGGAATGTAAGAAGCTTCATGAAGACTTTTGATTTTACAACTTTTCACCATTTTAAAATTTTAAAAAGCACGAGCAGTCATTCGAAAATTTTTTAGATGTATTCCGGTACAGAGAATGGATTACCTGGCATATTTGTTTCCAAAGTACTGGATCGTGAAACGTTCGTTGATTGAGGACGTGGTGGTGGAACCGGAGGTGTGTTAACACCACGTGTTGCAGCTGCTATTTGTTGCGTAACACGTTGAGTGCTTTAAAAATGTTTCAAAATTTATTTGGTGAAGTCCAGTAGCTCATTTTGGCATTTATGCTTTAAGTCTAACGAAACTTTAATCAATAGCAAATATGCAGCATTTAAATTTAAGGAGTTGATTAACATATTAACATTTTTAACTTAACCGACAATCCATTCACAGTTCAGAGGATCAATGCTTCAACAGAATCTCCAAATGCTCGAAGTTTGACTATGTCAACTTGGTCTTGCCCCAAACAATTTTCCAATTTTGTTGACTTTGATGAATAAAAAATAGAAAACGAATACTAACGACTGCATGATATGCGCCTGAACGAGGTCAGCAATGGCCCTACGATCATCTTCTTGGCTATCGCCAAGTAACGTTATGACATCATTTACATCATGAATTATCTCTCTTCCGTCTTTTGCTACTAAAATATCAACCCCGAACACCTCCAGCCCACCGAACGCCTCTGATATAGTAGTCAACCATTGTTTCTGCCTTAAATAATTATTTTGGAAATCTTTTCGTTTCTAAAATCATATTCAACATCTGAATCGATTTATTTTATTTAAAATTGTAGTAATTAATGCGAATCTATAGAGGCTTGTCAATCATTTATACTACTATTCAACCCTTGAAATGTTGCATCAAATATTCATCAATAACTTTATTTAGAACGTTCGGATTTTTGAAGCTAAATAAATGAAATTGAGAAACGCGTGAAGTTTAAATTTAAAATCTTCCGAGAAAGGCCAATAATCCTTAAAAGATTATACCTGTTTGAGAGAGAGATTTTTTCCAACATTGCGGAACCAGCGTTACTTTTCCAGTCATTTGATATACCCTTACGAATATAAGCCCTTGTTTCTGCACCAATTTTCTAAGAAGAAAGCACTCATTTTTTGACAAAAATTCTCAAATCTTTTTTGAAAAAAAATCATTTCGTCAAAGATCTCTAAAATGCATTAAATCAATAGAAGTATATATGGAAAAAATATGCAGCGAAAATGAAATTTTGATAGTTCTATAAACTCAACGACTTAATTTGCATTTTTTCAGAATGATAAAAAAAACTTATGATGCATCTTATTTAGATCCTTCTTTCCCACCTGTAAATGTATATCATATTTTGTTTCGATGAATGGTTCGGTAAAAACCTCCACAGGTTTTATTGATCTTAGCATATTTTCCACTTCTAGCATATGGTTTTCGTCGTCGATTTTCATCTAACATAAACAGAAATTTTTTTCAATGTATGAAATATTTTCCTCATATGTTGGAAAAAAAACGATATGAAAAGTCACATAACATGAGCCTGCCGAATTTCAACTGTGCCAGAAAAAAAAACCACTTAAAAAAATTTTACCTTTCCAAGTCCGTGACTTCCATGTCCAACGCGTATCACAATCGGAAATCGAGGTTGCACACTCTGCAAATACATTTTTGATAACAGATAGTTCATTGTGTCATATAATAAAAATGAATTTCTAAAACACCTAACTTACAAAATGATCAAATGATGGATAATAGGTTTGCTCAATCAGAGGTATGACATTCGGTCCAGCTGTTTCACAAATCCATTGAAGTCGATTAAACTGAAACATAACGAACTATGTCAATTAAAATTTCATCGACAAGCATTCGAACCAAAATACAAGCACACTTCTCTCCCAACCATGAGGATAATAACACTTCGGTAACCGAGAAAATCATTGAAAATTCCGAGATATTTTTGGAATTGTCCATTTCTTACATTGCCTCCATTTTTAAATGGTTGTTTTCGAGCATAGTGTCATTATAGAGACACGAAAGAAACTTTCAATAATACTGAATGTTGGAAATATTTGTCTAGACTTGCTCTCCTAAGTCATCCATTCAACAACATGATAATTTACATCACTCAGCGCTTTGCAAATTTTAACTACCAAATATGGAAATGCTTTTACCACGTTCAATAATAAAAACTTATACCGTCCAATTTTTATTCAAGAATATCCGTACGCTTTCAGGATTATTCAGAGTTTGCACACCTCCTTTCAACAACGCTAAAACGATATTGGTGTAATCACCCTTCTCACTGTTTACATTTTGCCGAAACAAAACGAAGTCTGGATGCATCCTCCTGGGAAATTTTAAATTGGCAGAAGTTAAAATAACATGAAGTTTGCAGTCACTCAAGTTATAAATATTCCAGTCGTACTTGCTTCGATTTATAATGCTTTTGCTTTAGTGTCGGTGGCGATGGTTTTTTTGTTCAACGTTTCATGTGCTATTTTGAGTTCAAAAAAAAACAAAAAAATAATACATATATATCATATATTTCCTTCTTTCTCTTATGTAAACAAGGTTAAGCTTTAAGATAAATTGTCCTGTCAGGTAGATGCCGATATACTTCTCATACAAATTTCACAATGAGAAGAACACAAATGATTAATAATATAGCTGTTTGAAAAGCTCTAAAATGTCTCCTGATATGACGATGTTTGTCGTCAAATAGTTCTTCAGCAGAACGTGCAAAAAAATAAGCAATTAAAAGGAATGTCAAAAAATAAAAATTCTCAAAAGCTTTCAATAAAAGTACTTGTATTCTTTTCCGAGTTCCAAAATATCCACTGTGCATTTGTGATTAGAATGACAGCAGACATGTATTTCTGAGAACGGAGCCTGGAAATTAAATTCACTTCAACCTCAATTAAAACTTTTCAGTTCTACATTCTATGTTAACAATATGAAGCTAACACTTTAAAGCTTAGTCAGTCATGTTACCAAACGAAATAGCTCTTAAAAAACATTCGTAAAGTTTATGATGGATTTTCTCGTGTCACTAACATTAACTTGGTTAATCCGAAGCCGCAAAAATATTATGAGTTGTTTTAATTAGAATCAGAATATTTCTCAGATAAGTGATTCGCTACACAAAATTGATAAAATAAATATTTCGATACCCAAAGTGATGAATCATTTATCCAAATCCAACTTTTCCAATTTTTTAACCAATTTTAATTGCAATGTTTAAATGTTGCGAACAGAGCCATTTGTTGTAAATTTTCCCAATCTGTTAATCAAGCTTACATGCAATTGTTGGAATGTTGTAGAGAACTTATGCGTAAATATTGAAATCTTATAAAGAACCTCTAGCCTGGTAGTTAAGCTAATGTGTTTAAATTGTTAAGCTACTCCCGCTATATAAGAAGCAGGATCAGTCAGGCAAAAGCTCAAGCAGTCAGTCACTCAATCCACAACTCCTGCAG